CTGACCTCTGTTCCTAACACCTGCTTACCAGGCAGCAGCATGGGAGGTCAAAGAGGAGACAGAGCCTCTCCTTCCTGTGAGTCACACACACACACACACACACACACGCAAAGCCTAAAAGACGCTTCTTTTCCCCCAAAATCTGCTGAAATTATTCTTTTAATTTGCATATTTCTTCCTGAAATCCTGCTCTCACTTCCCTGGGATGAACCAGAAGATCCTCTTATGTTTTTTATTATTCCAGGTTGCCTGACTCATGCCACACTCACACTTTTGTTTTTATGTGCAGCTCAGCTCAGCTCAGAACACACTCCTGTGTCTCAGCATGTGTTTGCACTATGGCTTGAGCTGTGTGTGTGTGTGTACGCGCGCGTGCTTTGCTGCATGACTTTTTGCAAATGTAACAATTGTACATATACTTCAAATAAAGTGCTTCATTGTGCAACTAATTGCACATTTTTATTTACTTAAAATCAATATTTTTTTATTTACTTATAATTAAAATACTATCTAATATAAACTTGTGTACTTCATCATTAACTACAGAACAAACAATGTCAATGAGTGAGAGCTCTTATTATTAAAATATTTGACACATTTAGGGAAAGTAATCAAGATTGTAAAGGTCTCCTATCGTACAAAATGCACTTGATGTCTTTTCTACATCACCATGTGTCCCCGGTGCGTCAGGGAACTCACAAAGTGTCAGAAAATAAACCCCTCTCTCTTTTCCTCCGTACCCACATCTCTAAAAACGGGGATTTGCCATCCGATATGATGTTATTTACGTCATAACTGATGGCACCCACGGCCCTATCAGAAACGTTTCTATCAGAAACAATGCCCGACTGTTTTGGACGTAATATGGTCGGTGTTTACATTAGCATCGCTAACACTCAGAGCTAACCTGTACTGGAGAGCATGTGTGTGAAGAAGCAGGAAATAAAAAGGAACTCACCTTGTGGTATAACCGGCAAGAGAGAAAGCCTTTGAGCTCCATACTGTTTCAGAAATAATCCTTGATAATCCATGATATGGCGTTTCATCACGGCAGTATTTAGTTTAGACATAGCTGCCGGGTCCCGCATGAGCTCAGACCCCTCCTCTTTAAAGCTTTATTCCCCAAATCAGCACTTTAGAAACAGGAAGTGGAATAGAGGGATGGCTAGAATGGGTGATCTGTTTGGTGTTTGGAGCAAAACACTTCATTGACATGTTTTTTATATATTTGTATATATCTGAGAACTATTGCCTAAAATAGCACGATAGGTGACCTTTTGTAAGTATAAAATACTCGTTAAATAAATATTATAATGACGCTCCTTTCAGAATCAAATGTCTAATTTAAAAAAACATCTACTTAGGTTTAGCTCGAACCATTTTAAATAACAGAACTTCAATTTGTAAAAATGTCACGTTTTTAAGATTAGTCGTCCTCAAAGTGTAGGACATTAAAGCAGAGCATTTATGAGAAGAAGAAAAACACATTCATGAACAAAAAACTGTAAATTGAAAACTGTTGATTAACCAATTAAATCAGAGTGTTTTTTTACCATGATAGCATTCCCTCGGCTTCCAGTCACTATGCTATGCTAAGCTAAGCTAACTGTCTGTTGGCTCCAGATCGCTTTTGCCTCTGTTCTCCACTCTGTTCTTTCTGCTTAAATAAATTGCCATTTCTGCAGTTTAGGAGCTGCTGCTTTGCTGCAAATAGACTCAGATTATCTGTCTTTTCCTCACTTTGCTCTCTCTCTCTCTGCAGCTCTTCAGTTTGGGACGGACGCCCGGGTTAAGTTGCCCAACCTGACGGAGGCGGGGGTTTTTTGGCAGGGTTTGGAGGATCTTTATCGCCTCAACGAGAGTCTTTTCGAGCGCCGGCCAAACTTCAGCCCCGGCCCCGACGACTGGCTCAACTTCCAGACGGACGTAGACAATATGTTTGCACTGCCACGCGTTTTTAAGAAACTCAAACTGGACGACTCCCCGAATCCAGAGCTAGGATCCGGATTCGGGGAGGGCAGCGGAAACCAGTTGGATTTGGACGTCACCCCCTCCCAAATCAGCACTCTCGCTGTTAACGATCTTCCCGAGAAAATGGCTAACAAACCGGGCCCAAAAAGAGACGTTCTTCCTCTGAGGACAAAGCAAATGGAGGAAATGGAGGGCGAGGCGTTCAGTGGAAACGGGATGACAGAAATGGAAACGCATCACGACTCCCTGCTGCGTTTCCAGGAGGAAAGGGAGGAAGAGGAGGAAGACATTTTCCACGCCCAAAACCTCCTCCCTTTCTCCCCAAAAAGCGAGTATGAGGGCAGCGGCTCTCCGGCGTCCAATCAGAGTTAACGAGACATTCATAGAGACATGATTGATTGACAGACGCCACCTCAGTGTCAGAGTTGTATAATGAGTATTGCAATTTATTTTTCTACAGGTGCCTATTAGGAAAAACAGTGTTATTCTTTTTTTTTCAAATATATATTTAGGAAAGAAAAAGCCTTAATGCAGCCGAGTGTTAAGAAGTGATTTATTCCGTATGGATAACACCGTTTTAATATATGTTTTTATGAAAAACAACGAGTTTGAGTGGTCAAACCATCTCAGCTTGTTAAAAGGAAAGTTAGCAGCAGCTTCAGGTCATAAACCCTCACATACCTGCAGAGAGAAATACTCAATCTGACCCCATATGCACTTTTTGAAACATTTACTAAACTCTAATAAAAGGACATTTTCATGCCGAAATGCTGTTTTAAAATCGTCTAAAAGTGAATATTTTTGGCCTTTTTTAATCAATATCTTCTGATATTTTACAGACCCAACCTTAAATACATTAATCATTTAGATATTTTTAAGATGAATGAATAATAAAAATGAGATGCAGCCCCTATTTGCATAGATTATTTCTATATACTACTATAAGATACAACTAGATTATAACATGTGGGGAAAGTCATATCTCTGTTTCACAAATAATTCTAGACAAATATATTTAAAATGTGCTTTTGTTTCAGCAACTTTGGACATTCACAGGTAATAGATGATTGAATGCTGGGATTTGCACGTAAAGTGAATTAATCCTCACCGGGTGTTAATGTTCATTCTGTCACTTTCTGTTGTAAATGTCACTTTCTCCTCACGTGGTGTTTTCTGTAGATTGCACCTACAGTCCTTAAAGTGAAATGTGGTTAAAGACGACGGCTTTATTCACTTCCTGTCTGTCCCTCATCTCGACCGTTTGAAATGTGTGTGCGAAAAGCTGCTGCTGTGCTTCTCTGTAACTTTCAGGACAGAAGCTGTTCAGAAATAAACCTTTCAACCTCCCTCCGCCCCGTGTCCACGTGAGTGAGCAAGGAGAAGAAATAATACGTGTAAGAATTCAGTCAGACGAGTCGTTTTCTTTCCGTTTTTTAATGACAAATATCAAGTTTCAAGGCTTTTGTAAACCAAGTGTTCACAAACATGAATCAGACCTCTGGAACAAAAGCTTTAAAGAATCAGAGCTCCTCTTTCAGAGCACGAGGAAAAGTTCCTTAAAGCAAAATCCAGTCGTCTGAATGAACAAAAAGCAGCTGCAGGACCCTCCTCCCTCCCTTTATATATATTTATATATATATATAAAAGTTTTAGCATCACTTAATGCAAGCTTACCAACGTTCAGTAAATACAAATGGATTTGCAAAAACCTGAGAAGGAAGTGTGGAAACAATGGATTTCATTTGTGATTTACGAACAGGTGAATTAAACGGTTTGCCAAGATATGTTATTTTTGTGTACCCTGTGTTCTGAATATGACTTAAAAGCTGCGTTTAAAGCCATAAAAAAGACACGTTACATAAGTTTGAAATAAAAATGACTTTAAAAAAAGATGAATTTATAAAAAAATATCCTGGCAAAATCACCTGTTTTCTAAATCTTTACGTCTAAATGTATTAATGTTTTCCCCACTTGCCTCTCAGGACTTTTTATTCCAACTTGTTTATTTGGTATTTTATCAGAACAGAAGTTAATTAGCAGCTGTAATGAGTTAATAGAATAAATATAGGTTATTGTTCAAATAATCCTGCACCGGAGGAAGGGTGGAGAATCACTACAGAGGGAGAGAAGGGCATTCTGGGTAATATAACTTCATTTACATGAGTAGTCCCCCCCCCAAAAAAATACTGTTCAGACCCCGAAAGACAGATCATTTGTTGACATATTTTTTAATTACAATGTAATGTTAGTTCATAAATATGCTTCTAACTAACTTGATAATACGCGTCACTAGCTCTGTCGATATTTACATGTCGATGATCACTTATTATGAATATTTAATTTGAGGTACTAAGTCACGATAATACTAAACGAAGCTTGGCCCAAAAACTGAACACATGCTGACTGCAGCAGACTCTTCCACTCATGTTGAACTAATCAGGATATAAAACACAATAACTTGTTCCAGACTTTTCCTAATTCCCCTTTTAGGTAAAAGCACGTACTTGTACTCCAACAAAGTGTATTTTTTGCTAACATGAAAAAGGCTTTTCTCACTTTCCACAGGGAGGTTAATCCTTAAGACATTCAAGAAAATATAGTCAAAGAAAATTAGACGATTCTAGTAAAACTACATTTTTCAGACCTTTAATTTAATTCATTCTGCAGAAAGTAAATCTTTGGGAAACTGGATTATTAATGGACATTTTAACCAAGATTTAAGTAGGTCTGACACAACATTCACTGGCCTTCACACAATCATCTGCAGCCACCAGGGGGCGCCAGAGAGTAAATAATCAGATTACTCCTGCTGATAGAAGCTTGAAATGCTCGTTGCACTACTTTCTTAAAAAGCCTACACTAGGAGAATACTACTATTTACATCTGGTGACCTTCAGTATGGGGAAGCCAAAGCGATGCATCTTTCTGTCGTACATTATAGACACCAACCGTTGTTTAAAAGTCGATTTTTAGAAACCTTTTCCACATCTTTTTGACTTACAGTAGCTTCAGCACATGGTCAGAGAGGAGAGACCTGTCTTCACCTTGTAACTGTAATAACGTAATGTGATCTAGATTGAATAGAAGTCGTTGAAGGCTAAGTGTCGGCTTTAAGCTACATGGTGACGTCACCAAGGCAGAGCAGACAGGATTTCTTCAGCTAGCATTAGCATCGAGCTAGCTGCGTGTACACTGGCCGAACAGCCTGAGAGGCACTGTTACAGAAAAGAGTAGATTTAGTCAGTTCTTAAGACCCAAAAAACAGCTGAGACAATCAGAGGAAGCTGATATGTTCAAAGCGAGGAGGAGAAGAAGATAATACATACTTTTATAGCGCTTTTTCCTGGTGCTCAAAGACGCTTTACAGTATATGAAATCAGAAAGAAAAGAAGGAGGGTCTGTACGGGGATCTTGCATAGTACAGTGAGAGAGTTGTGCTTTAGAGGCCGTTGTGATGGCGGCTCTTCGTCTGAAACAGGTTTTTAATGCCTTTTAATAATGCCTCTTTTCCAGTAGCACCATGTGATGTCTTTGCATCAGCCCTTTGAAAGTGTGGCTGTGGAGCAGAAACACAAACAGGAATAAGAAGGCACGTGTCACCAGGAATAAGGCGTGGCTTCAGAAGTGGGCGGGGTTGTGTATATATATATATATCCTTAATTTAACCAGGTAAAAGTGCCATTGAGATCAAAATCTATTTTTCAAGAGCGACCTGGCCAGCATGAACAAAGCTACAACGAATGAGTACAAAGCCATACAGGCAGACGAGTAAAAGACAACTGAAATGGCACAGTCAATATGCAACATAAAAGAAAACATAAAAAACTGCCACCATTTTTAAATGACTTCAATTATGGGATATAAGAGCAATTACATCGTCGAATGGATTCTTGTTCTCTGTCCTTTAAGACGGACTTGAATTCCTCCAAAGTGATCAAATCTGAGAGTTTCCAAGCATAAGGGGCAGCATATTGAAAAGCTGTTTGCACCTAGTTGTGTTCTCAAATCGCACTACAGGATGTCTCACTGCACATAAACTCAACGCCAGGCACCAGAGAAGTCTTTCCCAAACATTGATTTACTTGAAGCTAGCTTTTTTTTTAACCTAGTTGTGTCCTCACGTTATGGCTTTGAGGGCGTTTCCTGGGCAACTCAGAGTGCTGTGTCCGCGGTGAAGAATCGGAGCGACGGCGGGAATAAAAATGGGACACGAGCGCGTACGAGCGTGACTTTTTTGACCCCCAACGTGACAAATTAACTCGCTGACGGTGCCCAGAGGAGGCAGGCGCTCCGCTTGGCGATCCTCCTTGTGCTTGAGGGAGTACCAGGTGAGGAAGATGAAGATGAAACCGACGAATTTGAGGCTGGCGGCGAGGCCGAAGTAGACGAAACGAAAGGAGGTAACGTCGTATTCCCAGCAGGAGCCGTGCACGCCGCAGTCCTGCTGCCACAGCATGCACGTGGTGTCGATCACTGCGCCGAAGTAGATGGGGGTGGGGATGTAGGCTGTGAGAGACAGAGAGAGAGAGAGATTACATTTACTGGAAAAAACTCAGAGTATGTTGAAATGTGAGGTATCCCTCAGCAAGGTCACTAACATAGCACTCACCATCGATGGCACCATTGTTTCCCCCTCCAATCAGGCACGCAACCTTGGTGTAATCTTTGACCCCACCCTCTCCCTCGAACCTCACATCCGCCAAACAGTCAAAACCTCATTTTTCCACCTCCGCAATATTGCAAAAATCCTACCCTCTCTCACCCGCCCCGCAGCCGAACGACTAATCCATGCCCTCATTTCCTCCCGCCTTGACTACTGCAACTCACTTCTTTACGGCATCAGCACTACATCCCTCACCAGACTCCAACGGGTTCAAAATGCAGCTGCACGTCTCCTCACGCATACCAAGCATCACATCACCCCAGTCCTCAAAGACCTCAACTGGCTTCCCGTCTCCCATCGCATCAACTACAAAGTTCTGGTCCTCACCTACAAAGCACTCCACCATCTGCCCCCCCTTATCTCACAAACCTTCTCACCCCTATCAACCCCCACGGGCCCTCAGATCCACCGCAGACGGACTCCTATCCATTCCCACATCCACACTCTGCAGCTTTGGGGACAGAGCCTTCTCAGTGGCAGCTCCTAGGCTCTGGAACTCCCTCCCCCAAGATCTCCGTGACTCCGAAAGCGTCTTTGAGTTCCTGAAAAGCGCTATATAAATATAATTTATTATTAATAAATAAATAAAATAATTTTAATAA